TGACGCTGAGCATGGTGGGTTTGTGCGCTAATAAACCAGTCTATTATTTAAGTAATAATATATTGTAAATAAATTGATTACATAACAATAAATAAATTAGTAAATGTATATATTTTTTAAAAATTATAGATGGTTAGAATTTGTTTAGAAATAAAATGTTACTAAAACTAATAATAATAGCACTTAACATACAATGTGTTCAATTAATTTGGGAAACTCGTCGATACCATCAAATTTCCCGATGTCTGTCAACTTGTCTGACATATCGCTATCATCTACGAGACCATCGATACCGTGAATCTCCAGCTGATAGGGTTGGCCACCCGGGGCAGCAATTTCTGTAATAAATAGCAAGAGATTGGCACATAATTTACACAACAATGTGACCATGCTAATTTACACCATATACCTAAGCCCTGTGTCTGAGTGGGTGCCGAGCCGTTGACGGGTGGAGACGATGACTGGGACGAGTTAACCAAAATCCAGGGCACACCTGACCGGGCGATTGATGGCAAGTCTAGCGGCGAGTCGACGACTATAACCGCCGGCCGAAACTCAATGAGCGCCCGATCGACCAGAGGGTCTAGTTTTTGTACCCATTTGGCCGACACGTCCGGCGCCCCCACAGACGACAGACCCGCTCCGTAATACTCGTCTGATTTGGTGTCCGACTCTTTGCCCTCACCGTCGCTGATGTCGGTTACTATCCATCGGATTGTCGGGTGCTTTGCGTACAGTTTGTCCCGCAGTTTATAGTCAGTGAGAATGACCGCCCGATACGCGCCGTCGGCTGCGCCCACCAAAGTCTCGCCCATAGCTATAGCCGTCTCTACCTTATCGATGGTCGACGTAATGAATAGCACCGTTAGTTTATTTAACTGTGACATTATATAATTGTAGACAGGTGGGTTAATTTTATATTAAAATTAATTTTTTTACATCAATGAATGAAAGTATAATAATTTAAAGTGCATTAAACTCTTTTCCTGTTTAATTTGAAAATAATCATCATAAAAATATACTTATACTTAATTAGATTATGTTGCTATGGCATGAATTGTATAAAACAGTGAGATTATACGTGTCTATATAATTTAACTTAAAATATTTTGGCTAAATAATCTATACTCTCATTGAAAGGTTATCAAATAAAATTAAATGCTTGGATTTAATCCACATTTACACCAAAACTATTGCAAACATGTTTCATATAATTATTATTTTTATAGTAATTTCTGTAAAATTAAAATCATTAATTAAATATCGAATTGTAGTTAAAAAATACTTAAGTTATTATGAACGACAGGTAAATATTTAACATTAATATTTTATTTATATAAAACTAGTTGTAAATATTTAATTCCTACTATAAATAACTTGCTTTTAAAGCTAATAAATTATTGATTTATAAAGTTAACAAAAAATTAAAACTTGATTCAATTCATATTAAATTAAAATTAGTGCAGAATATAAATATATAAGATTATTAATAATATTTAGGATTATATAAGCTTAAGTTATGTTGAAAATCATATATGGCCAAGATAAATATTTATTGCACCAAATGTATTGCATTAGCAACAATAAGCATGATGCAATTATGCATTTGGGAGTATTATAAAGTAGATTTATTTGATATAGTTAAATATAGTAATTATGTGTTGATCGCAATTTCGGGTGGGTTAATTTGCACCGATTATACACTGTTGGGCAGTTGTGGCGATACAATTGGATTATCATTTGCAACAGTGTTAGACTCGGTTGTATTATTACTATGGGAACGGATCCATAAATTATATACACTCTATAATTAAACGGCAATTAATAACATGAATATAATGTACAGCACTCGTCACAACTCGCTTACCAAAATAGTCACGCCCAGAAAAAAGCAGCCAAAATGTGCGTACAATGCCATCGACTTATACCACCGGTCGTCCGGACAATACGCGTACCAAACGGCCATTAAAACGCAATTCTCGATAAACAATATGGTATAATAAATAAATCGTTGTCTAATTAGTTTACCATCCGGATTATGGTAGCAAAATATAAACACGAAAGCTAGCCCGGCCGAATTTTGAAGCTCTTTGTAAAATCTGGTACTACTGGTTTGCATGATACGATTGCGATAATCATCGGGGCCTTCCTGGTCACCCCTGGGCGCCGGTACCGATTGGTTCTCTCCTATTGGCTCAGGAATTTTCCGCCAATTGATTGGCGGCCAATCGGGTGTCAGTGTGGGCGGCGGTGCGCGAGATGTGCTATTTTTGTGAACGATGTCACTTATGGCATATACGATCCAAACGAACATGGCCACGTAGTGCAAACAGACAACCACAGCCAGATAACTCGGGAATACGCTGGCGAACAGAGAAAGGGTTAATACGCGGGCAACTATCACGAAAATGCGCCATAGGTAATTTCCTATATATTCCTGAAGTTACATTGTCGTTATTATTTACTAATGAAACATTGTAAGATATAATTAAGTTATGTAAAATCGAGTAAAATATGTTAACTGCCACAAAAACATTTCGATGTATTGTGTCTATTCTGATCATGCTGTACTATATAATTTATAAACCCTTACCGGTATACTCCATGTACTACCATTTAAAAACCATAAGCGCATACTTTCATAAGTGACCATTGCATACGTGATAGACACTAACGACACCAAGACTCCCGCACCTGTTATAACTAATAGGGAAGTATTATAATTTTAAAATGTGTCGGTTATATGTTTTAAATTAAAATACGTATATCACATTTACCACAATATCTGTTCTAATTCAAATGCAACAAGATGAGATGTGAATGTAAGTAGACATACCTGTCCAGACATCGATAGACTGATTGCCAGCATTCGCCACGATATAAAGCTGAAGCACGAGTTGAGGGGCCGATTCCATGAAGGCCTCAATGATTAGCAAGCGACTCAGCTCTAGCTTTTTATATGAATAGCATTTGAATTGCTTTACCCTATCTGCTAGTGTGCTAGTTGTTTGTCTGGATTTGAATGCTTGCTCCAATATATCGATACGTTGATATATCGGTCCCAATTGCAAACATATGCACGCGGTTAGTGTATAGCGTGCGCAGGCTGTGGTCGGTTGAATAGGCAGTGGTGGAAGCTCATGTGGCTGGTTTTCACCATGTGTTTGGTTTTCGCATAAATAATTATACCAACGGCGCATAATTACTAATGATGGCAACAGTATGAACGTCAGCGTTAAACCGAAATACCTGTGCGTGTGTTAAGTTAAGTCAAAAAAATACAGTACAATAAAAATATATTATACAGTATATGTTATAATAATGGTAATAAATTGAGTAAAGAAAAATTATTTACCAATAATCATGATTGCGGCAATGTTTAACAGATAGGAATATATCTGTTAGAACGTCCAATAAGTATAGCACAATGCCACCTACGAATAGTGCAATGTCAATGTTTGTGACGCGCATGCGTTCCGGTAGTTTGCCCGACGAGTGCTCACTAGTATTGTCCGGTGAGGCGATTATCTGGCAGTCGATGAACTGGCCATTTGATGCCTGCGATGGTGTAATGGAAATTCCTGCGCTGATGGTCTCCCTACTTGTGGTCTCATTATTGTTATTGTCCGGCGATTGTCTGTTACGGACCGGCATTTCATTCATACATATCTGGCTATCAGTGCCTGAAGTTATTACCGTTGCCATTGATTTAGTATTGTTTTCCACATATAATATTAAGATTTAATTTTTATATCATTACAGAAACACAATTAAATAATGTGCTGGCGCCTAATTTTATAGTTAAATATTAGTATAATTAATTATGATTTAATTGGGATAAAATTAAAAATTAATTTAAATTAATATAAAACACGATGTTTTATAATGTAACATTATTGATACTTTATTGTAATGTATTTATAGTTACATTTTGTAGGAAATGATTAGAATATCCCCTAGCGCATCCAGTTCTAGTTGATATAATCATGTCCAATATTTGTGTCATATTACATGCTTGTAAAGTGTTTTGTATAAAATATGTTGTTGGTTACAACTGATGGTATAAAATATATCTAGGTAAATATCAACCAAATATAACATTTTATTAACAGCGCCCAATTCATCCGTAAGGGCACAATCGGCGACTGGAGTCGGCATATGACTGATGAACAGTCGGCGATGTTTGACGAGACATACGGCCAGAGGTTGCGGGCGATTGGACTCCCGGTGTGCGACACTATGGCCGACGCCCAGAGCTGTATGGCTACAAACGGCCGTATTATTACTATGGATAATGCACTGAAAATTAATCATGATTCTATTGATATACCCGTTTTAAATTAATATAAATTAAAGTGTAGAGTTTAGAAAGTGATAAATTTATTTTAATACTATTGATCAATTTTAAATTAACTTTATAATTGTTCACGATTCATTTTTTCAATAATTGGTGTTAATGCTAATAGTTAAAATAGTGACATGTGTTTTAAGATGTTACTGTTTTTAGTAATTTACTTTATTATAGTAAATAAAGTTTTCAAATTATTATATTTTTATCGCTTTTATTAGTTAAATTAAATTTTAAAATAACTACAATGTTGTGTGTATTAATTTATTTAATTGTAATAAATTAGCTATTATCTGGCATATGATAAAATATTGCTTTGCCTTAAATATTGATACGATTTTAATCATAGTAATCAAAAATCACAATTATCGTAACAAATTTAGATTTTATTTAATCTAATATATAAAATAAAATTAAATATAATAATTAAAAATAATTTAGCAAAAATGATTACAACAATCCCGTACCAAAATCCGTGTTTTATAATAATAAATAACATGATTGTACAATATATGCATGCCAACATAATTTAGCAAATTTATAATGATGATTATCGAAACATAATTCAGCAGAAGGTTTTGAGACACTTAATATTAGTGTATTCATTGTAAACGTGGATATTTACAATTGTTTGTAAATTATTGTGTTAACAAAAATTATTATTTAAAAAGTTATATAAAGCTTAAGTTATATAGCTTTATTTACTGATTTTTCACTAATAAAAAAATGTCACAAAACAAACTAACGGTACTATTCATAACATGGACTGACATCGAAAGAGTGGAGTCAGCCATAGCTATGGGTGAGACTCTGGTGGGCGCCGACTCTGACGGGCATCGGGCGGTCATTTTTACAGACGGTAAACTCCGGGACAAACTGTACGCAAAGCACCCGACAATCAATTGGATCGTAACCGACATTAGCGACGGTGAGAGCAAAGAACCGGACACTGAAACAAACAGGTATTACGGGGCGGGACTGTCAACGGGTGATCAGCAGGTGTTGACCCAAAGGGACCACAAATTGGACCCAATTGTAGAGCGAGCTCTCATTGACATCCGACCAGACGTTATAGTAGTCGACTCGGGACTAGACTTACCATCAGTCGCGCGGTCAGGCGTGCCATGGATTGTTGTCAACGCATCTCAGCGTTTGCTGCCCACCGTTGACAAAAAATTCACTCAATTCGTTTGCTTAGGTATACAGGGTGATTATGCTATTTTGCCCACAAGTTCCATATTTTTATATAGTTAATTTATTTTATTAATTCATAATATAACTGATCTTAAGTAAATATATGCATATATAGTGTTATCTCTGATGTCTGATTAAAACTGATATCTCATGGTTTAAATCAAGTTGTATTTGTCTTCTTCACTACCACGTGGTCAGTATTTTATAAAACTTGTGAGAATGAAAATGTATGATAATTGAGGGTTTAATTTTTCAGCAGTTTGAATTCAAAATTGAATTAAGTGCTATTCAATTGTCACATGTTGTAGAATAATCTTATATATTGTAGTTATATTTATTAAGAATTATAATAAATCCACACTTTCTAGTAATCATTAATATAATACTCTATGGAGTTTTCTGTGCAAAAATGTGCGACCATCTTGTATATAAATAGCATGGTCATTAATTTTGTAAATCATTTTTAATTTATGTTATTTATTAAAGAGGTTGAGGTAAAGGAAAGCTTACGCGTTGTGATCAATATTCCCGGTATTCATGATAAAGATTTGTTTGAAAATTTCACAGACATCGGGACGTTTGATGGTAACGATAAGTTTCCCACATTAATTGAACACCTTGTATGTAGTTAATTTATTTTTATCTAATTAAAAAATCAATGCAAATTAAAATATAATCATATACAGTGTAATATAATCATGTATAGTTTATTTTAATAAGTACAATAAGTAGATTTTATTTAAATAATAGGCTGCGTTGTTGGCAAATAAAACTACCATGGCTTATAATAAGCAACATAATCGCCGATCTCGATACGTGTCGGCCATCACTCACCGCACACTAGTCTATGCGGAGAATTTGTTTTTTATGGACCCGGGAATGATCTACAGTCGTATCCGTAATCTACGGCTCCTGACTATCCGTCCGGCAGACGTATGGCTGTGCGAGTATCCCAAGTCGGGCACCACGTGGTTGAGAGAGATCGTGTCCCTCATTATGGCCGACGGTGTGGTCGACAAAGTGAGAGGTCAGGACTTGTCTGAACGTGTTTTAACTCCCTTCAAGCCTGACATAGATTTTATGGGATTGTATGCGAGTAGAGCTGATCCAAGTATTATCTTTACTCACGTCAGCGCACAGTATTTGTCAGACACTATCTCAACGATTGGCAAAATGAGAGAGAGAGCGAGAGAGAGAGAGAGAGAGAGAGATTACTGGATGTAATGATTATTACTAATCTTGTATATTATGTGCCCATTAGATGATATACATTGTGCGTAACCCGAAGGACGTATGCGTTTCTTTTTATTATTATCATCAAAATTTGTCGTTCTTGTCGTACGGGTCGGGCGCCCAATGGGCCGACTTCTGTCACCTTTTCGTCGACGGCCATTTATGGCTGGGCGACTGGTTTGGGAACGTTAGTTCCTATTGGCTAAAGTACGGCTCCGGGAGGGCTAACCCACGAGTACTGTTCGTGGCGTACGAGGAGTTGATTGTAGACCTGCCGGCAATGGTCCGCACAATCGCCCGCTTTCTCGGCAAAAATTTCAGCGCCGAAATTGTGGCCACAATTGTCGCCCACTGTTCAATGGACTCAATGCAGGCCAACCCTATGGTCAATAAGTCTGCTTTTATGGCAAAACAGGGCAAACCCAGCGCCCAATTCCTCCGTAAGGGCACAATCGGCGACTGGAGTCGGCGTATGACTGATGAACAGTCGGCGATGTTTGACGAGACATACGGCCAGAGGTTGCGGGCGATTGGACTCCCGGTGTGCGATACAATGGCCAACGACCGGAGCCGTATGGCAGCCAACGGCCGTATTATTACTATACATTAAATAATAATCCATTGAAAATTAATCATGGTTCTATTGTTATTCCCGTATTAAACTAACTTTACTATAAATTATAGTGTTTAGAAAGTGATAAATTTATTTTAATGTTATTTATTAATTTTACTTTAACGATATAATATCTAAATTGTTTACGATTAATTTTTTCAATAAAAGATTAATAAAGATTATTAACTTAAATTTTTAGTGTTAATAGGTTAAATAGTGAATAGTTTGTTTTAAGTTGTTAAAGTTTTTAATTATTCACTTTATTATAGACTATAATTTATAGTAATAAAGTTGTTAAATTATTATATGTTTATTGTTTTTATTAGTAAAATAATATATATCTAAAAATAATAGATTTTTGATGTGCCTAACTGAGTTTTATTAACCTAATATATAAAATTAAATTAAATATAGTAATTAAAAATAATGTAGCAAGAATGTGATTCGTAATTTATACAATCCCGTACCAAAATCCGTGTATAAAAATAACAAACACCATGATTGTATAATATATGCACGGTAACATTATTTGACAAATTTATAATAATGATTCTATTAAAATAAACCGACATAAGGTCTTGAGACACATATTAGTGTACTTATTATAAACATTTACGATTGTTTGTAAATTATTGTGTTAACTTATTAATAATAGGTTATATATTTACTAATTTTTCATTAATAAAATAATGTCACAAAACAAACTAACGGTACTATTCATAACATGGACTGACATCGAGAGAGTTGAGTCGGCCATAGCTATGGGTGAGACTCTGGTGGGCGCCGACGGTGGGCATCGGGCGGTCATTTTTACGGACTATAAATTGCGGGACAAACTGTACGCAAAGCACCCGACAATCAATTGGATCGTTACCGACATCAGCGACGACGAGAGTGAAGAGCCGGACACTGAAACAAACAGTTATTACGGGGCGGGACTGTCAACGGGTGTACAACAAGTGTTGACTCAAAGGGACAACAATATGGACCCAATTGTAGAGCGAGCTCTCGTAGACATCCGTCCAGACGTTATAGTCGTCGACTCGCGGCTAGACTTGCCATCAGTCGCGCGGTCAGGCGTGCCCTGGATTGTGGTCAACACATCTCAGCCTTTATCGCCCACCGTCGACGAAAAAATCACTCAATCCGTTTGCATAGGTATACATAGTATCTAATTAGTAGTAAATAATTATGCTATTTTTCTCATAAGTTTAATAAATTTATATAATGTAATCTTTAGTTAATTTTTTTAATTAATCAAAAAACATAACTGATATCAAGTGAATATACACATGTATAGCTTGATGTGTCATGTTTTAAATTTAATTGTATTTGCACGTTCACTACCCATCAAGAAGTGTTGGCCATAATTATATAAAACTTGCGAGAATGAAATGTATGGTAATTCAAGGCTTACCTTATAAATCGCACTATGTAGAAAACTCGCACATATAATTTTGGCAACAATTTCACTTTGTTCATTAGATAACGCGCGCGTTGTCAATGGGGGTATTAGGGTAATTGTTCAGCAGGTTGAATTTAGAATTGAATTGTAACCTATTGTAGAATAATTTCATATATAATAAACTGTAGTTATTTTCATTAAGAAATATGATAGATCTACAATTTTTTAGTAATTGGTAACATAAAACTATGGAGTTAGGCAAAAATGGGCGACCAACCTGTATATGAATAACATGGTCATTTATTTTGTAAAACATTTTTAATTCCAATCATTTCTTACAGAGGTTGAGGTACGGGAAGGCCTACGCCTTGGGATCACTATTCCTGGTATTGATTATAGAGATTTTTTAAACAAGTTGACAGACATCGGGAGGTTTGATGGTATCGATAAGTTTCCTAAATTAATTGAACACATTGTATGTGGTTAAATCATTTTCAATATATTTTAAATCACAAATCTTTTAACACAAAAAACTTATTTTATTGTATTTGAATAATAGGCTGTGTTGTTGGCAAACAAAACCACCATGGTTAGTAATGAGCAACATAACCGTCGATATCGATACGTGTCGGCCATCACTGATCGCACACTAATCTATGCGAGAGACCTGTTTTATAGGGACCCTGGAATGATTTTTAGTCTTCTCCGTAATCTACGGCACCTGACTATCCGTCCGGCAGACGTATGGCTGTGCGGGTATCCCAAGTCGGGCAACACGTGGTTGTCTGAGATCGTGTCCCTCATTATGGCCGACGGTGTGGTCGACAGAGTGAGTGGTGAGGACTTGGAGGACCGGGTGTTTCACTTTTGCAAACCACGTGACGATTATATGGGTTGGCTTGAGAGTAGACCTGAGCCCAGGATGAAAATGCTATCATCAAATAAATCATACACATGAAAACGCTCGGTATTTGTCGCCCAGGCAGGCGTTTTACTATTGATATCGTATCTTGCGAATCGTATCTTACGACTACGAGTCCTCTACGATAAAGATCCGATTGCATATTACTAAACATTTTAGCATTATCGTAGACTTTACTAGAAATCGCAGAATTACCATGACAACAACGTGAACAGATAGCAAAACATAGTGTACATAAACAACGTATGCCATTATGATAACGCATTGCCTGTCACCCAATATTTCATTATGAATATATTAGTAGTTATGACTGTTATTTATGCCACAATTGCTTAATTCTGTGTATAAGCAGGAGGTATATATAATTTAAAATATATAAAAGTTAAAAACAAATAATTATTACAATATTTAATACACTTACGACACCTCAAGAGCTGTCGTAAATATTTGCGAAAATGTTTGTTTATTTTTGTTTTACGATACTATGATTAACGCATTGATCGTACGATGGGTTTGCGAGTGATGTCATGTGATCACTTTAGATCGTACGACAATTGTAATCTCAAGTTACGATTCGCGGTTATGATATTTCTATGAATGCATTTTCTCGCATCTTTGCTACTATGATCGCAGAAGTTTCTCACTAACGGGCACCAGACTTTTAGTTCTCACACAACTTTTAAAATGAATTGTAAAACATAATTGAATTTAGGGTTTGTTTGCATTGAATGTACGGAATATTCTGTTCCGACGAATAGACTGTATATCACTGTCCGAGAGATCAATCCGTTTCCCGATCTCTGATTCAAGCGATTGTTCG